TGTGTGTGTGTGTGTGTGTGTGTGTGTGTGTGTGTGTGTGTGTGTGTCATTTTCTGTTCTGTATGACTGGGGTACTGGTGTGTTTGTTGCCTGCTGGCAATTTTTCTTTTACTCCCATATTAGGTCTCTACTTACCATTTGTGGCCAAATTCCTGAGACAAATACAAGCCTGGTTTGAAATCTATTTGAAGGAAACAAGCAAATCAGGAGGTGAGAAAAAGAACTCTTGTCTGCAAAAATAAATTAAATGGCTGACAGGTTCATGTTAGTTTTATTTGAACACTTTCTTTATCACCAGGATATCTGGGTGGAATATGCTTGAAATATGAGAAATGTGAGAGTAAAAAGATTCTCTGTCACAACATAACCCAGCTTTGATACTTTAAAACTATACCATCAGTGTTTTACTTTCTGTATGAGAGTAGCTTTTGTGGATTGATTAAATAAATACTGTAGTTCGTTGCAGTCCTTAAAAATCCTGAAATATCCTCCACAAATCTTCCCAAAAGACCAAATCATTTGTTCTACCAACGTCAGTCATAAAATCACTGTCCATGTCTTATAACCTCCCAGGTAGGCTGCAGACAAAGTATATTTCCCAGACCAAAAAAGTGACTGTTGACATTTGTATCCGTATGATGGCATGAGAAAACAGCATCATCTTTTTAAACCTTGATTCAGACTATAGCATTGCATTGTGAACAAGTTCATGGTGGCTCTTTTAGCAAACCACATTCTTTGTTCAATATCTTAAGCTTAAAAGCCTAGCTTAAAAGTTTGCTCTTTTAGGGGAGCCTTCTTCTACCATGTACCTTCCAGATGAATTATAAGGTCCATGATCCCAAATCAACATGGCTACATTCAGCACATGCAGAAAGTACTAAGATAGGAAAAGCAGTTCCAAGGAATTCATGGAGGAAGCCCATTCAACAACTCCTCTATTTGGACTTTTTCATATTCCCACATTGGGAAATGTATTTTAAAATAAAATATGAATAAGGACATTCAAATATGGAATTGTAAGCATATTTATATTCCATTGAAATCATGATATCTTTTGGGAGGGAAAAAAAAACCTTATATGACTTAACTTCTAGAAAAATGGCAGACAATACTCTTGATCATTATCCAACAATCCCGAGCTTTACCTTGTCCACATCAGAAGATAGGAGAGAAAGGAGAGTCTGCAGAAGAAACCCATCACCAACGTGAAGCATGGCTTTGTGGTGCTGTGAATCTGTAGCCACATTGCTGAGAGCAGCACAACTGTAATACTGTAAGGACAGAAGACAAAATTGGTAGATGCAGTTGAAGAGACAAGAGTTGGTCTACAATGGATGGGAACAATAAATATCAGATTGTCTCTGGTCTACCCCTGAATAGCATGTAGTAACTTAGTAAAAACTTTTGACTCATCACAAAAGCAATGAAAAATATATAAGGAGTTTGAGATTGTGACACTTATGGACTAAATTTCTAAAACTGAATTAAGAACCCATCACATCACGAAGGACCATAAATGGTTGAAGTTGAGAGCTCAGGATCCTCTCCAAAGCTCTAGGATGTCAAATGAGAACATTGTAAGCAGTGAATTCAAATGGAATTGCTCAGTTTTTGAACAAATAAAATGACTGCAATAGGTGTGAGGAATACCAGAGATTAGATTTGAGAGAAAAGACCATATGTTATGCTAATATAATACTTAAAATCAGTTTTCAATAGTTTCTTATGGAATGGATGCCATGGTGTAGAAATATGTTCTTTTGCCTCTTTGCAGAAAACACAAAAAAAAGTACAGAAAAGCACATTAAAAACAAATTAAAAGACTCAAGGACCACCCCACCCCTGAAAGGACCTAATAGTAAAGACTGCAATGATGACACCATTAAAGCCAACCTGTTTAACACATTCTTTGGCTCAGTATTTGTAAACAGCAATGGATCATGCCCAGTATTTCCTAGCTGAACCACAGAAAACTACAATGATCTAATACATATCGATTTTACAGTAGACAATGTTGAAAAAGCACTATGTAATCTAAAACCATCTCTATCTATTGGATCAGACGGAATATGTGCCTACTTCTTAAAAAAGTTATCCACTGCCATAGCAGAACCTCTAAGCATAATCTTTGAAAAATCTTTCAGGACCAGCTCCTTGCCTAACCTATGGTAGCAAGCCACGGTCATCCCCATCTTCAAAAAGGGAGACCCCAGCCTAGTTGAAAAGTACAGACCAATCTCCTTATGCTGCGTCACCTGTAAAGTCATGGAATCAATTATTGACCAATCAATTATCCTCCACTTAGAGACAAACAACCTACTCTCTAATAAACAATTTGGTTTCAGAAAAAAAACTATCCTGTAATCTACAATGCTTACACTGCAAAAACATATGGACTACACAACTCGATCAGGGCAAAGCAATAGACTCAATCTTCATAGACTTCTGTAAAGTCTTTGATTCAGTGGTACACGACAAACTACTCCTAAAACTAAAATCTTATGGTATCTCTGGACACTTGCATAACTGGATAGAAGCATTCCTGTCAGAAAACAAATGGTCAAAATTGGGAGCGTCCTATCAAATTATGTACCTGTCAACAGTGGTGTCCCCCCAAGGCAGTGTTTTAGGACCAACTCTCTTTTATATTCTACATAAATGACCTGTGATCATATTAAGAGTAACTGCATTCTCTTTGCTCATGATGTAAAGCTATTCAACACCACAGACAACATTGCTACCCTTCAAAAAGACCTCGACTATGTATCAGAATGGTCAATCAAATGGCAACTTCAAATCTCAACAAATAAATGCTCTGTCTTACATATTGGCAAAAAAAAATCAGAAAATAAAATATAAGCTGAATAGTCAAGACCTTGTTGATGATCCAAACTCTATCAAGGACCTTGGAGTACTCATCTCTAATGATCTAAGTGCTAGAGCCCACTGTAACTACATAGCCAAAAAGGCATTAAGAGTTGTTAACCTAATCCTACATAGCTTTTTCTCTGGTAATATCACACTACTATCACACACTACTATCACACACATACAAAACATTTACTAGACCAATACTCGAATACAGCTCATCAATCTGGAACCCGCATTACATATCTGATATTAACACAGTTGAGAAAGTCCAGAAATATTTCACAAGAAGAGTTCTCCACTCCTCCACTTGTTGCAGAATATCTTATGCCACCAGACTTGAAATTCTAGACCTAGAAAACCTAGAACTATGTCGCCTTTGGTCTGATCTAAGTATAGTATATAAAATTATACATTGCAATGTCCTACCTGTCAATGAATACTTCAGTTTCAACCATAACAATACAAGAGCACACAATAGATACAAACTCATAAACCGCACCAAACTTGATTGCAGGAAATAGGACTTCAGCAACAGAGTGGTCAATGTCTGGAATACTCTAGCTGACTGTGGTTTCTTCCCCAAACCCCAAAAACTTTAACCTTAGTCTGTCTACTATTGACCTCACCCCTTTCCTAAGAGGTCTGTAGAGGGCGCGTGCATAAGCGCACCAACGTGCCTACTGTCCCTGTCCTATTGTTACTTTTTATTTTTTTTATATGTATCCATTTCATGTATTCATAACTATGTTTATACTTATACCTGCTTGACAAAATAAATAAATTAATAAACAAACATTGAATGAAAATGAAAATGGCTTCCAAAGCTTCAGCAGTATCAGCTGGGGGCAATTCCATATGAAAGCTTCTTTACTTTGTTTCCGGTTGGGCACTGTAACAACTTTCTGAAAAAGGAAAAGTGACTACAGTCCGTTTAGATGGAGCTGATCTTACATAAATTGGGACTTAAGTGATAAACTAAAATTCATATATCTATTCTGTGAGGTTTATATGTATGGAAATCATTGCCTGCCTCAATTACTTCTTTCCACCTGAAGATCCTTGATGTTCTTCCAAATGAATTTCTATTAGTATTACCCTTAATCCCAATATAGTAATTTTTTAAACTTGAGTGTACAAAAAGGAAGATTGTAAAAGAAAGTTTGGGGGAATCTTCCTCAGGCATTTTTTTTTTTTTACAATAATGCAGCAACTTTCGGAGTGGGGACAAATACCCTCTACTCCCAAGTTATCCCACAGTTGTAGGCACACATTTGCAGTGGATGAGGGCAAAATGTTCAGGCCCATTTTTCTATATGGTAAAGGGATTTAAAGATATCCCAGGGATTTAAAACATCTATTTTGCCCATAAAACATGAAACACCTCACACCCACTGACCCACAGCCAGAAAAACTTTTGAAAGGGAAGGAGGAGCACATCACTTTTTTTTTCACAGCATATATTTCTCCCTTACCACAATATTGATGGAAAGAAAATCAAATATTTGTTCAAAGCTTAAAACTTAAACAGAGCAATGGCCATCCGTGATTATGTCAGACAAAAAGTCAAGGACAAAAAGTAGTGCTAAAGTTGTTCCAAAGTACGTTTTTTCAAGCATCTGAACAAATGCAGCAAACAAGATCACATTTGCTTAAGCTGCTATGGTGTCTCTCACAATTTCTTTCAAAATATGAACAACTGGCTCTCAGATCAAATAGCTCTTATCTTACTCATCCATAAAACTTTATTTTAAGTGTCAGTTACCATCTATAACAAGGGTGTCAAACTCAATTTCATTGAGGGCCGCATCAGGATTGTGTTTGACCTCAGGGGGCTGGAGTGGGCATGGCCAGGATGAGCATGGCCAGCTTGACGTCACTCGTGTCGGGGGAGCCTGTGGTGGCCCGAGCGATCTGCCAGCGAAAACAAGCTAGCAAGCTCAGTTTTTGGCTCTGACGGCCTCCTGCAATCCTCTGCCAGTGAAAACGAAGCTCCCCTGGGCCAGATCTAAGGACCCTGCAGGCCAAATCTGGCCCCCGAGCCTTGAGTTTGACACCCCTGATCTATAACGTGTCAGTCTTGTCTTTTTTGTTGTGTCTTTTCAACTTGGTTGAGGATTCAGGTTCTGTCAGGGCAATTTTGAATCCAGTGATGCATTATGTTTCCAGAATCCTCAGACTAGTGTTCATGGTTTAGTATGTTCAGTTTCAGAAGTTCCAACTGACAGGATGGATACAAATTTTACCTGAACTTCTGTGTCAGAAGACTCTAATAAATGGGTGAGAATTGGGAGAGCACTTTGACGAACCAAAACCCTTTGGATCCATTCTGTAAAGGAAGAGATTAACACTCAAATGGCATCTGTAATCATTTACTTGGATCTTACCACTGCTACCTAAGTATGTACTGTACCTAAAAATGAAATAAATTGCATTTTCACAAAAATATACCTGCACCAAAACCAGTTTATTTTACTGCTATTTTGTGCGCATAGACAATGTTGCTGGGTAACATTGCTGGGTAATTACTCTGTTAGCAAAAGCTGCAAATAGAATTAAAAGAATATGGCTATTTTATTCTGCATGACAACAAAATCTGGATTGCATATCCTAGAAAAATATGTCCTGATGAGGTAGCATTTATAGTGGACTCATGCAGTTATTAAAATGTGTCTGGAAATGATTGTACTATAAATAAAATACTATATTTCTTTAACATGTAAAATGGCAATACAATGTTATTAATTTAATACATTGACAAAACAATAGTGTTCATAAAAATCTCCCCCCACCCGCCCCGACCCACAGAATACAGCTTTAATAGTTAGCAACCAGCTTCACAAATTTACTCTTTGCTGCATAGATTTTCTGCATTTCCTAAATTAAGTAGACACTAGTGTTTAACTTCTTTAACTTCTTTAACTGTTCTCTATACATTATTGAAATAGAATTCTTTATAGAATTCTTTATTGTCCAAGTGTGATTGGACACACAAGGAATTTGTCTTGGTGCAAATGCTCTCAGTGTACATAAAAGAAGAGATACTTTCTTTACAAAGGTTACCAGAATGTCCTCAATGGAACCTATCTCTAATCCTCTTTTTCTTACTATTCTTGCATTTGGCATAGTTGAAATAAATCACAGCTGTCACATTACCTGATCGTGTGAGGTTGAAAATAGCTTGAACAGCATTTTGTTGAACACCAATATCGTGAGATTTAGAAAGGGAAAGCAAGGGTATAGTTCCTCCGGCTGCTGCAATTGCATTCCGACAGGCCTCTGAAGGAAGCAGCAGAGAAAAAGATAAATTAAGGGAGGCTTAGCTTTGTTAGGAGATAGCTTGGGAGTAATCATTCAAGATTGGAGACTGAACATTGGGCCAAGTCCTCAACTCTCCAGCCATGGTTTTGTGTGCTATGAATATCACTATAAGCCTACAATGAGAACTATTGCTACAAGTTGCCTTGGGATAATAACTGACCAGAAGTTTTAATCAATCAAAATGTGTATCTTGAAGTGCCAAGCTGGAGGTTGAAGGAATGGGGAATGGAATGGGGTATGGCAACAGAAGAAGCAAGCAGCAAAAAGAAGAGAATTTAGCTGCCTGGTTGAAAGCTCCTTTCAAACACCAGTTAGCTGAAAATGTAATAAAAAGTCAGGCTGACTTGAGTTTGAGTACCAAGCCTTGAAATCTGAATGAAGTTTTGAGACTGCCATCTTCTTTTCTCTTGATATGTTGAAGACACTAGCCATGTAACACAGTAACATTTCTTTGGGCACAGGATGATTCTGTAGAACAGATTCTATGGCAACTGTTGCAATAAAATGGTTGGGCATTTATAAATGCAGTGCCTATTTGGGAGGGAGAAAGAATACTCCAGAGAAACTTGAAGGGCCCATGGCTACCTCATCATAATGACCACCTCTTCTTTTTCTGAAGATCTTTGAAGATCTCTATAGATCTTGCTCTGCATTCCAAGATGAACTAAAGATAAACAAAGCAAGTAACATTCCTAACCATGCAATATAAAGGTACATATCTGCATAATTCAGCAGTTATTCAAATAAATTGGGGTGTATCTGTGGAAAAATGAAAGTATACATAGCTGTAATCAGTGCAGTATAATAATTATGATGTTGAACTTGGGCTAGAGAGAGCTAATTTTGATCCTTCACTCAATCACCATACTGGGGGGGCTTTGTGGCAGTCATTGTTTTCAGCCCATCTTCTCTTTTATAGAGTTGTTTTTGAAGAATAAAACTAGGGGAGAGTCAAATGGATGTAGATTAGAGTTCAAAAAGTAAAGGAAATAACTGCGGGAAATGGAATTGTTGCTGAACTTAACCACTACCTTAGGCTTGGGAGCCCTGCTCACCTGAGTCAGCCAGCATCATTAAGCAGGTACAGGAATTCCCCTGGACAGTGATATCATCCGATTCAAGTAGCTCTAGGATTGGCTCAAGTAAATCCATTTCTATGACATGCTCCTTGGTTACTGTTTGTAAACAAAGGTAGTAGTAAATAATCTTAAACATTATTATAAATTCAATGCTAAATAAATTTAATAGTAAAAAAATCTTAAATACAAAGTTTAAAATGCAGTAGTGAAGAAATTTAGTATTTAAATAATACTGAAGGAAGCAAAAAGCTACTGACATAACTCAGTACTACAGAAATGTGTTCCATTTACTACAAAGTAACATCCACTTTCAGAATTCCTATGAAATAAATCATTTCATTGGGGCAAGAATCTAATAAATTTATTATCGGCTACACACTTCAGGCAGTGGTGGAATTCAATTTTTTTTTACTACCGGTTCTGTGGCCGTGGCTTGATGGGGGGGGGTGGCTACTGTAAAATCTCCAGTCAGAGGTGGTATTTGCCGGTTCTCTGAACTACTCAAAATTTCCACTACAGGTTCTCCAGAACTGGTCAGAACCTGTTGAATACCACCTGAATACCAGGTGCAAAAAAACTGAATGCCAAGGGCTATATGTGCTCCTGTCAATCTTGACTTGAGTTTTATTGTCCCCAAATCACCAGCAACTGTGATCAAAGTACAATTTTAATAGGACGAGGAAAATTATTCAACACGATTATAAGTTTTACCATACTCATTTTAATTATATGTAAATGAAGTAAAAACAAATGAATTTATAAATATGTACAGTATATTTAATCCAGTCCCTTATCAGAAAAAAACATTCTGCACTACTGAAGCATTTCCCTCCCTGCAAATGAATCTTCAGGGCAGTTCAAAAACCAACTTGTCATTCTTTAGGGGCAGAGTTGAAAAGAACTCACATTCTAGGCAGGTGTCGTATTCAACTTTCTCAGAAAAAGAGTTCTTGGTTATCCACTCACCATTTCCTTCTAATAAAAAGCTGAGCAGGGATAAGGATGAAATCTGCTGCACCTCCAAATCATTAGACTTCAGCAAAGCATAGTATGTTTCCAAATGCTCTTGGGACAGATGGATGTTTAATGCTAAAATTAGAAGAAACATTTGAACATTCAGAACAACGATCCTTTTGTCTTGGAACTGTGGATGTTAAAGCATAGAAGAAGTCATAACTAGGAGATATCTTAGTCCACTTTCAGAAGATGCCTTCCACCAATCTATCCTATGTAAACCATCCTGATTTATACACAGTGAAGATAGCAATGCATTCTACCACACACCAGCCTTCATACACATAAACTTCTCATGTAGCAGCTTCTACAATTCCAAGGCAAAGCCTCACAGTATATTGTATTATAATTTCATGCTTTCCATAGGAGCAAGTTGCTAGAATCAAGACAGAAAATTCTTCCAGGATCCCTTGAGCTTCCATGCTAGAAAGAGAATTTTAATCTCCTCTACATCCAGTGTATAAACTAAAGAAACAACCAGCCAAAGTGTGCCCTCCATTAAGCATCTGATTGTATGGTGAAAAGTATAGCACCGTTCCTGTGAAGAGCACACAGAATTAAGAGTAATGTGACTCCGTCCTCAGAGGCTGAGAATGTGTGTATGCACCTTGCAACTGTAATCTTAACTTCCACCTGAAAGTGAAGGACTTCATGTTACAAAGAAGCCCCTCTCTGCAAGTATAAGTCCTATTTAATTACATGTTTGCTACCCTAGTAAACAGCTGCTCATTAGCAACTGAACTTATCATGTCTCAAGAGATAACATTCCGCATCAGTGATGCATTTTGATCTCTCCAAATGAATCTTCAGGGCAGCTCAACAACCAAGTTGTCATTCCTTAAGAGCAGAGATGAGAACAATTTACATTCAAGTTCTTGAAAGGAAAGTGGGATTTAATCTGAGAATTAAATGAAGCACATCTATAGGGAAATGGTTCATTTAAATGGCATTGTATATCAACTTTGTATATCATTGTATATCAACCATGCTAATTCTGTAAACCGCTTTGAGAGGGCTGGAAAGCAGTATAAAATGGTATATAAGTCTAAGGGCTATTGCTATTGCGAACTTTATATATGATTTTTTTTCCTCTTTTTATATACCAACCTTCCCAGAGTCTTGTGAATCAAGGGTTCCCCCTTCCCTGATACTTCTCAATATGCAAGCCAAAGAAAATAGTTTAAGCATTTAGTTGATGGCTGTCTGCTAAAACAACGAAGACTGGGAAGCTTGTGAAGTCCATCCGGGAAGAACTAAAAATGCTTATTCACAGGGAATATGCACATCTAAAGCTTGTAACAATTCTGGGCGGTGAGAAAGCTGATAAAAGTAATAGACATCTTACATAGCTCAGCTAGAAATTAGGAATAGGGGTGGCCTGGAGCAAATAGCATGTATACTACATGTGTCATGTTGCCATCATGTGACATATTGCAACATTTTTCCCTTTGCGGAGCTGGGGCGGGCATGGCCTGCGTGTAACGCATCTGGCCTGCAGGCTACCAGTTTGACACCCCTGGAACATTTTTCAGCCAAGGCTTAAGAATAGGGACAGCTAGAAGCCAATAAGACAATTGTTAGATCATTACTAAAACGTTTATTAGGTGATTTGTTTTATATATCCCACCTTATCCTGCTTTCTGCTTTAGTGAGATTGTATGAAGCTTCCTTAATCCTTTGTTCTGGGTCCTGCATTTTGCTGTCTGGGACTCCTTTTGCTGAAGTGCTTCAATAAAAGGGAACAAAACGTGCACCACGTGTCTGGTGTTCTTCACTGGCTTCGGCAACAGGCTCAGACTCAAATTGGGGACAACATGGTCAGGTAATGTTGTTAGGTCATGTAAAGGCAGAGGTGGTATTCAGCAGGTTCTGACCAGTTCTGGAGAACCAGTAGTGGAAATTTTGAGTAGTTCGGAGAACCGACAAATACCACCTCTGACTGGAGATTTTACAGTATCCTTCCCCTGCCACGCCCACCAACCCACGCTCACAGAACCGTAGTAAAAAATTTTTTTGAATCCCACCACTGTGTAAAGGCCTCAGTCAGTCAGGATTCTTTTCTCTTCTTTCTGCCTCATTCTCTTCAGCTCTCTAGTTTCTATCAAATGAGACATCTATCTGTTGGACTGCTGCTCTCTGCTGTAATTTTCACATTGACTAAAATCTTTTGTATTTACACTGATGCCTCATTCACCTTGCTTTGATTTACCTTACACCTGTATTATCTTACTACAATCCACCATAACTCTCCTTACTTAGCAGACTCTAAATCCCTGTGAATCCTAATATTCCATATAATTGTGTTATGTATGAAATTCTAATGTTAGTCTACGTTTTAATAATCCATCCATGTTCAGCCGGGGGGGAAGTGCTTTGCTTTCCTAGTTATTACAATGCTTACTTACAGTCTTGGCTTATGTGTAGATAGTAGAGAGCAGCAAGCATTTGCAAGCCAGGATGATCAGAAAATGCCAAGGTCTTCAAGGCCTCTAAAGAGATCTTGCCAAGTGATGACATTTCAAAACCTTAAAGAAAAATATAAAAAGAGATTCTGAATTGTGTCAGAAGTAGTGGAAGTATTGAAGAATCCACAGAACTGAAATAAGTAGGTGGAGGGTAAAAAAAAAAACACCCTCTGACATTAAAATATTATCTGCGCATGCTTGAAAACATAGTGGATAAAACTGAATAAGCAATTGAAAAGATGCTCGCCTTGTTCTTAATTCTTTTTACAAAAAATAGTTTAGCATCCTTCCCTTCCCTTAGTTACCTTTCCTTCAGGGTGTAATTTCCCTCTATTTTCCATCCTTACTGATTTTGGGTTCAGATTCTCTTTACTGAGAGAATATATAAACTGATCTAAATGGATTTAGATTTACAATAACTAAGATTTCATTCCTCCAGGAGTTATCACAGTCCCACCAACAAAATCATGTAAATGGCCAAATCTACTCTGATGAAATTATGAATTTGTGATGCTGAGTATGGAATCATATAGCCAAAAAGGGAAGTAAATACATGCTTAATGGCTATGGAGATTTTCAGTCATCCAGGTCATGGTTGTCCCAAAGGTGATTTTTCAAAAGGCAACTGGACTATTTTGGGGGAAAATAAAAGTCCAGTTGCCTTTTGACAAAGCACCTTTGGGATAAGTAGATGCTTAAGATTATCCGAATATATCTAATAGGAAAAATAATCTGGAAAGCAGCAAAGTTCTCCAATAATTCAGTGAGAATTTTATGTGTTTAGAAACTATAAAATGCTGAGTGACTACAGGGAAAGTTAATGATAGATTTCAACCCTATATGCATTTTAAGAGTTTTCTATAAATTATTTTAAACTTAATTTACAAAGGAAAGGTAGTGATAAATTAAAAAGGATAAAAACCATCATTATGCATCTCTTTATTTTTTAAAAAATGACTTTTCTAGGTATGTATAAAAATTCTTTATGTCTTTGTGTGTATGTGTGTCCCCATAATTAATTTGCTACTAAATTTCAGATATCCCAGATCCTAACATTAGGAATTTCCTTTTTTAGAAGGAGTCTGGAGAATGTGGTAATGAAATTAGAAAAGCAAATCTTTTTTGTACATCTGAGAAGATTTGTTCTAAGAAAATAGTGTTTGGTAAGCTACGGTTGATTTTGCCCTTGTTATTGTACAACAGTTATTATGTGCCATCATGGTTCATTACTGAACCCAGGGGTTCTTGCCCAGCTAAGGAATAAGAATGCTTGAATGAAAATGTAAAAGTGCATTGTGGCAGCTTTAACAACAAAAATCAAGGTAATTGACATGTAAACAAATCTCTGCACATTTAAAAGCAGTGATTTAGTCAATAAATCGAGAATCGAGAATCAATTGCCCAATTATTTTTTGGGATGCTTTAAATTTTGGCTTTTTCTGTTTCACCATTATTCACAAAAAAGAAAACAACCAGGAACACAAATAACATGACTCCCTGAACTTACAGTACACAAGCAAAGCAACAGAGTTGTAACAAACAATCCACATAGTTGGCTGACACACTTTCAAAAGCAGAAATGTCTCACCTTTTTCAATGTGTTGCAGAAACTCTTGGGCAGTTTCCTCTTCATAGGGATGAAGAACAGGTTGGTAGAGCCGCCTCATTTCAACATTTTTCCGTTTTAGGCAAGGGCAGTCAGCAATCTGAGCCAAACACTCTCTAATGTCAAGCAACAAACCTGACAACAGTGTTTTCACTGAGACAGCAAAGTTGTAAAGCAATTGAACACACTTGGTACACAGCTGACCCATTTTTATTTTCCAAATCCAATAGAAAACCCAGGAACAAAAAGGAAGGGAGCGTTTATACTTTGTTTATTTTATTGTTCATATATTCCTTGTACTGGAAATTTTTGATCTAGATAATGCCAAACATGATGTGGATGAGTTATTTAAAAGTTCAAATTGTTCCCGGAGTTCAGACAGAAAATCTAACTCTGCATCTAACCACTCCAAATTAAGCCTTTTCCTCTATTTTAGACTGGAGAACAATAAACAATTAAACAAAACTGTAGCATTCAAAATCACCCTTTGTCCAGAGTCAAACTAAGGCTATTAAAAGAAAGCACAGCAATCTTAGAAAGCTAGCAACAACTCCCAGGATAACAAAGAAAGGTGATGCTTATATAGAATGACATCACAGGTCAGAGCAACGAATATATTGGTCCCCACCTCCTTAACTGATCAGCCAATCAGTGGAGAAGAAAACAAAAACTTAAAACAGGTTGTTCCAGTTTCTTCCAGACAAAGTAATAGTGCCCTTTGACTGGCACAAACCCAGAAAGGCCCTGAATACCTTGTGTCTGCAAAAACAGAAAAATACACCTGTTGGAAGAAATATCCTTCTGGGTTCAGTTCCAAGTGGGGAAAAGGACACTGGAAACATGAAGGCTGTTTGGAAAGATGGTTTAATGGTGGACAGGACCACATGGCTTGGAGCTCGAAGTGAAAAGGATGATCACATGCTTCAAGGTGAAGGAAAAGATCAAGAAGGAGGAGAGCTGGAAGTGTCTGGTTTTATACCCTCTGTTGAGATTTGAATTTGAGCTTGTAACTAACTTTGTAGGCTTTGTCTGGACCATATGGCTTCACCTGGGTGCTGACTGATACAATTTTCCCAGATTGTGAGAGGGGTAGAGGCCTTTATTATGTAGAGTACTCTGGCCTAGGCCTTAATGGTCCATTAGCAAAAGGTGTGTGTTGGGGGGGTGAGTTTCTGCCTCTCTGAGGTGAGTTTCTACTTCTGAGTTTCTACTCTTTTTTAGGGGAAATATTCTGCCTTTTTAATATTTCCCAGGATAATTCATTTTTCTAGGAGAGGGGTGGGTGCTAACTTGCTACGCATATATATAAGCTCCCTCTTGCTTATTGGACTGAACAAAAAAGATTAATAGTACACTAACTTTAGTAGTGAATGTATGATAGAAATTAAAATTTGATGCATCTTGCTTTCTTTTTTCTCATCATAAAGTTGCTATGAAATTTGTACCATGCAAATACAATGTGTAACCATAGTAACTAATTGATAATTACCATATGGTTTAAAAATAATAAACTGCCAAAGTGGCAAAGGATAGATATGAAGCAGCTATGCATTTGCTATTTGTTCTTCTTATGATACCCTTGCATATCCTTATATTTTATTTCCCCCAATTCCTCCATATTTGCTTTCACTTGTATTCTCCTTGTAACTTTGTCCCCATTTCCATTTACTTCAGTGAACTAAGCACCATTTTCATCTACCTCTAAGTCAACATATTGGCTATATTCATGTAACACACTGAACTGCAGATTTCATCCTTTTTTGACCAAGCATATCATGCAAATTCAGCCATTTTGCTAATGTATGATTCAACCTATCGAGTAAACCTAGAAAATTGGGTGGAGTCCATTATGATTAATGTTCTGAATGTCTATTGTGCAAATTCAGTCAAATAGGATTGCTCTGTTAAAAGATTATTTTTAATCTGAATCTGGCCACGTGATCATCTAGCCTTCCTTCCTCTTTCCACCAGCAGAAAAACCGATAATTCAGGTCCACAAGCAGGAATCATACTAATGTGCTCTCTAGTAACTAGTATTTTAAGAGCCAGTGGTTAAGGTACCAGGCTAGAAACTGGGAGACTGTAGTCTCACCTTAGACACAAAGTCAGCTGTGGCTTTGGGCCATAATTTTCTCTCTGTCTCTTTCTGTGTTTGTCTATCTGTCTCTCTCTCTGCCAAGAAAATTGCAAAGACTTGTCCAGGTAGTTGCCAGGAATCAACACTGAATCACCCCACCCCCAAAAAACCTTCACCAGTATTTAGGAATACATTGTTTCTGGATACGGAAGTTAATGATCATGTTGAATACCCATTTATAGGATATGTTCTCTATTAATTTGTCATATAGCTCACTTAAAGCTATCTTTAAGCTCTAAAAAAAGGTAATCTCATTTAAGTCAAGTTGAACTCTTCGCAATTCGTAGGTAGGTTAACATAGCTTTGTTGAAAACAGTACATGAATATGCCATTGCCTTATGCATTTTTTTAAAAATCCCAATTTAGCCTATACACCCTGTTTTCAAACACCAAAAACCACTGCATTACACCTAGTTCCTTGTTTCAGCTTCAGCTAGAACAAATAGCTGTAAGGAACGACACCACAAAGACATCTTGCACTCTGCAGACGATATGAAAAGCTATACGAGATGCCCATTCACAAATATAAGAGAAGAAATCTCAAAACATAAACATTCTTCGAAATTATGCACGTCGATAAGGTAGACTTCTCCGCATGCGCGCTGGAGTCTCTGCTTCTCCCTGCCACCTTCTTTCCCAAAAGGACAGCCATCTAGCAGTCGACTGGAGTTTTGCAGTCCACTGCAGATACGGCCGTCTTCAGGGAAGGAATTATATCACGTGACTATGAAAAACTATCAACTGTAGGACTTAAGTATTTTTCCATGTTATAAGCGCCATCTTTCTGACGGGCAAGCGTCAGGTCGGCCGCTTTCCTATCCTTTTTCGGGCCGCCTTCCGGCAGCGGAAGTGACGCACCCGTTTATTCTAACGTCGCAGAAAGCCAGTCTTCTCTATGATTTCCCCCTTCCTTTCCGTTCCCTCCGCCCCATTTCTTTTTCCTTCGTCGAGACTGGAAATGGCCGCCGGGTGGTGAGAATCGGACGGGAGGTGTCGCCCAGAAAGGGTGAGCCACGACTAGGCCGGGATCCGAATGTGCGGCGAAGAGTCGAGCCGGGGAGGGATTCAGAAGCCGGTTGTGTATTTTGTGGGGTTGGGTTCGACCGTTATACTTCCACGCGATGGTATCGACCTCGTTTCCTTCCCTTCCCCTCCCCCCCCCCGCCCCCCCCCGGCGTGGGGCCGCGCGCCCCCCCCCGCGCGCGGGGGCCCCCCCCCCCCCCTTTTTGGTTCCCCCCCCCCCCACCTCCACCCTTGACTAAGAATTTCTCCTGTCCCCATTTTCTCTCGCGCGAGCTGATGTGGGGGAAGGGAAGAGCGGGGGGAAAAAGGAGACGCGGAAGAGCTTCGGTTGCTCTCCACGCCTTTGCCGAGGCCCGGTCAGCTGCCTTATCTCCTCCTCCCTCCGTCGTCTCCCCCCCCCCTTGTTTGGGCGCGGCCAAGACAACCTGGGCGCCTTGCCGCCGCTCGCGAATATTTCGGGACTGCTAGGAAAAAGGCGGGGAGGGGGAAGGCCGCCTCTTTTCGGTGTTATTTCTCAATTGCGGGGCTTTCCGAGTTCTTCTCAATTGCGGGGCGGCGATCCCTGACCTAGTCGCCCTGTGGCTTGCAGGCGGCTTATGGGTCGGGAAAAGAGGCCGTGAAGGCGATTAAAATCATAAAGCCCATCAGCGTGGTTGGCTATTGGACTCCTATATTAAAACAAAAGGATTCTCTGGTACGTTGTGCTGTTTCAAAACTTAAGAATTTGTTTTTTTGTAAATTCAAGGATCGTACCAAATGGCTGTTAAAACTGCGGCGTGTTTTATTTGTATTTAAGTACAGAACGTGTAAGTGATAAGTCTCTGAATTTCTCTGAAGTGTAGTAGGGAGTAATGGGCGAATAATTTAGTTTAAGGTAAGAAAATCTGGAAGCAAGAGAGCAGCATACTGATAAAAAAAAAGGGCCGTTGAGTAAACTATAGCCAATGTAAATATTGAAAAAGGCTGAATTGTGAATCTGGGGTTCTTGCTACTGGTTTTTTTTCCCCTTCCTTATGCTTAAAATCCAATGGTATCAATTATTCTTAGGCATTCGGTTTTGAGAGCGAGTGGAGCTATAGGAAACATTTGTGTGGGTAGGATTAAGATTTCCTTTAATCTTAAATTAATTACTAAGAAACTGCTAAGAATTTACTAAGAATGGATTGGATCTAAAATGTACACAGGTTCCATTTCTTCAGTTAACTGAAGATATGTGCATCACTCCCCTCATATTATTAGGCTTTGCCCCCCAATATTACCCAAGGGTCATAGAACTGGATTAAGTTGTGCAGGATATAAGGTAAAGATAAATTTGTGCTAACGGGCTTTGCTTTCTATAGTCGGTTTTAATAAAAAAATGGAGATGTATGTATTATAATCTATTTAGATTAAAATTTAAAGTGATTTATCTCTGCTTATAATAAAATCGGGACCGCATGTTACCTTCTATTGAACAGGTATAAACTATTGTGGAAAACATGGGTCGCTCTAATACTAGATCCCATTCCTCAAGATCAAAGTCTAGATCTCACTCTTCTTCAAGATCCAGATCCAGATCACATTCTAGAAAAAAACGTTACAGGTACTTACTTTGTATTTTATATGTTAACTCAACTTAGTTGCTTGATTTTTACATGCTGATTTTTATAAGAACTACAAAATACTGCTTAAAATTGCACATTTCTGATTGCATTCAAATGTTCTACATGAGTCACACTTCTTCCCTTCCTTTTTTGTGAATCTTGTTCCCTTTTTGTTGCCCTCCATTTTCTACAGGATGTTAAAGTCTTCCCAGTGACTCTAAGCTTCTGCTTGCTTTCTGTTTTATATCCTTCTACCCAGTGGTTTCAGATTAATTTCCCAGTTCTGCCTTTTCACCATATTTGTTCCATTTTCCTAAAAGTAAGGTGGAAATATTTGCTGCTTGTTGAACAAGCAGACAGAGAATAGTGGATTCTTTCTACGGGTTTTTTATAAATTACCGAACCCAGAATGTCTATCAGGATTCTACAAATATGTAGAGTGCTTTATGGTTAGTGAAGTTAGCAGTGAGAACTGCTGTTGATTATGGAGGCAGCAGAGAAAAAATAATCAAATAAGTTGCAAATAGCCTTGGTGAATAGGAAGGAAGGAAGAGAGAAAGAGAAAGAGAAAGAGAAAGAGAAAGCCAAAGGTGTTTAAACAAAGGTAGGTATGGAATATCTAGGCCAAGGAAACAAAGTATAAAATAGTCTGCTTAATGTAGGAGATAGGGGAGGAAAACAAAGCACAGAGTTTCTGTTTTGTTGAGAAAGATAGTTTCTTTCAAGTTGAGCTTGACTCATGATGTTTAGCCAATAGTCTTGGGAAGTCTTTAAACTTAGATGAAAGCAGCCAGGAAGGAGGCAAGCCTTAA